TCTTAAATAATTAAGAAACGAATTTTACAAATCGGTTTCATAATCACACCCTGATACGGATCGCGAATGATACACGATTTCCGCGTGGGACCGGAACGAACCTCCGATTTTTCGGGTTCAAGTCCGACCTACGAACGCGTCACGGTTCAAAAACATCGCGACGTTCGAGTGCTAAAAATATATCGGCTCCTCCTGCGAGTGATTCTTATCCGGCAATTTACGAGCAGTGAACATCTCGAGGGACACGGAGCCACGAGGACAGTGTAAAAAATCGCTCCGTGGAACGTTTACCGAACGTTCGACTAGTATTGCACTGATATCGACTAAGTGCTGGCGACAAGGCTCAGCCGTTAATGAAAATGTATTCATGGGCATGTACGGTTGGTGAACATCTCTAACGTATTCGTGTCCGGGGATGATTCGTGAGAGTGGCACGCGCCTCCATGCCGCCGTTTCGCGCGATTAGATCCGATGGACGATTAACAAATAGCGGAACAAGTTTCATTCACTTCGTCCCCTTCGACACTTTCGGCTTTAGTGTATCCTCGGATTGTTATAAGTAGTACGAAATTAACTTGGGTGAACGCGATCGCTCTCCTTAAAAGCGGAAGGATTTCGTACCGATGAAAGAGCGACGAACCAACTGTAGGGGAACATCGAAAACGTATTTCGCTGTTTGCAGAGTAAAAGCTTCATCGAAAATCGACGTTACAGCGAAACGTCTGCGGCTCGATACCGTCGCAACGGGACGCGAAACGAAGAGTCTGCGACCGAGATTGTGACCGCCATGTTATAAAACGCGTCTAAAACGTACGATTAACCTTCAATCCTCGCGAGGCCACGGATTCGATACACTTACGACATCCGCGAGTAAAATACAATAAAATAAAACGCCCCGACAGAGCCTGACGCGAACTCTGCGTTCCTTTTCGCTCGATAAACCGTCGACAAGGGAAACTTCCGTTATCTCCTTATACCGGGGATCGATTTGTAAAAATACAATTATAAAAGATCGAACGCGACTTCGGAGTCGTCGCTGCGACGTTCATCCCCGAAAGTGTACGCGTTGATACTTGAAACTCATGATGCAATACCTTCCACTAGAACACAAGCCATGATTACTAGTATAATGACCTTCTTTATATAAATTCGAAACTTAAACAAACTCCGTCTAAAAATGTCAACGATTCCCACTGATCTATCAGCAGAATAGGGGATACGATCTGTTGCCGTAACGATCCCGGAATCAGTTCGCGATCATCATTCCCGATGTTTGGTCCCAACCCAAAGAACCGCTGCCGACCCCGGACTGCGGAAGATGAATGAAGGACACGAAAGAATTTATGGGGTGGCGCGTTATGGAGAACTGAACGTTAACGGTAAGACCTGATACACATTATCAGTCAAGTCTCGATGAAATATTGTTTATAATGTGTGTGTTATGAATCTCGCCGCTCTATCTTCGTTCACCGAAGACAATGGACAAGTAAAGAACGCTACCGATAAACGTGTATCGGGCCTGAACGTCTCGTCAGTCCCAACGACGAGGACAGGCGTTACGCGGCTGGTGTCCTGGCTTCGATGAACTCGGATCTACCATCGGAAAGAAGTGAAATCGTCGAAATCGTCCGTTATTCGTGGTTGCGTCGGCAAGGGCCGCCGCAGCCCCGCCGAGATCTCTTTAGCCGAGGACGACGATCGGGGCACGGTGTCACTCACGGTCTTTGCTCAGGTCCGATGGCAGGTCACAGGTGGACGCAACCGCCGTCGTCGACGTGGTCGTCGTCGTCGTCGTCGGTGATCGCGGCGACGGCGACAGATTCATCCTAGATGTGACGGGCAGCGAGAGACCCGCGGCGCTCATCGCGACGTTCAACGGTATCGTGATGAACGGCTGATTGTTCTGCGCAGAGTTCACCGGGGTCACCGTGCCTGCGAACAATCCCGGAATCCAGGGGTTGATCTCCCTTTTAACGCTAGAATTACCGATCGAAATCACCCATTTAGGGTATCTTCTTGTACGAATTTTAAAGCTTAGATCGATAAGTATCGGTTCCTTGACGAATTATCAACTAAATTGATTCAGTAATAGGGGAATTATAAACGAAATGAGATCGCGACAAATGGATCGTAGAAATTTGTGAAGGATAGTATGAATTAGTTAACTCGTCTGCTTGGTATTTATAGTATTAAAGACGATTTTATGTGAAAACGAACTACCGATCGACATGATCCATTTGGGATATCTTCTTTCATGAATGTTTAGGCGATAAGTGTCCTTTCATCTAGGGATTATTAATTAAACTGATTCGGTAACAAGTTAACTGAATTATAAATGAAACGGGATCACGATAAATGGACTTCAGAAATTTGTAAAGGACAATATGAATTAGTCGACTCGTCTGCTCGGTACTTCTAGCGTTAAAGACGATCTTACATTCTGCGATGTCTCTCTTCTTGTTTCTATATTTTTTTGTTTTCTCTTGTCGGAGAGATGTTTTGGAAAATTCTTTGGCACTTCGGGGATCAAAGTTAACAGGAGTTCAAGGGATCGTTCCTCTCACCTCCTTCCTGCGAAATCTGCACCGGTTGACCGTTCTGACCGATTCCGAGCAGAACCCCTGGACTCGGCGAATAAATGACTGTTTGTGGCATTTGATACATTATACCTTAAAAAAAAAACGACAAAGGAATCATGGAAGAATGACACAAAATACAATATTAATTAGCAGACACATGTGTACTTATATTCTTATCCTACATCG